AATCATTCCACAAGACCCAAACCAGAGGCCTCTCACTGTGAACTCTCTCTCTCTCTCTCCAAAGGTCTCACAGAAATTCTCTTTTAGGAAAGGGATACATTTATCTCGTTCTTCTTTTCCCTTTCCACTTCATTCCCCTGATTGAGGTCATTGCTCTCAAAGGGGACACTTGGATCAAAGATCAGCGATGTACTGTCTTTCACTGTCGCTTTGACTGTCGATGCAACAGACGTCGTAAAAGCAGGTGAATTCCTTTTCTCTAAGGAGTCTCATCAACTCGAATTTCACCCTGTGGTGATGACATGTTATGAGAAGGGAGTTATTGGAGCATTTTCTCAGCACATGGACTGGTGTTTCAGACTCTCTGCTGCATTTACGACAAAAAGACCCAACTTCTCTGACCTGCCCGCTGACACCTGGGACTCCACGCAGGAGTGCACAATTAATGTTCAGTTTCGGGGTATTTGACCATTCAGACCCAGAAAGTACTTGCTTTTCATACATTTATTTATTCGCTTCCCTTAAAATTTATTCTGGGTCTCTTTAAAATGGTTAACACCAATGCCCAATCACCTGCAATTGGCCCATTCCTCAAGATTCTCAATAAAAGAACACCAGCTAAGGTTGTTCGGGCACATCTCTCAAATGCCAGAAGGCATTGTTGACTTGTGAAATGCAAGTGGGAGATAAAAGACATAGAGGGCCACCTAGGACGACCTGAGAAAGTAGAATAAATAAAGTCTTTGACCGAAGAGGTATAGATTGGACAAGAAAAAAACTATTGGCACAAGATGCAGACTTTATGGATCAGGCTTTATAAGCAGATGCCTTATACTGCTTAGTGGTAGATGAGGATGGATTAAGTAAGTATAAAATGAACCCATTGCTTTAAAATTTAACAAGAATTTACTTTTTGAAACGAACAAAATTTAAACATCAAGTTTTATAATCGTGTAGAGATTGTTGACTGTGTTTATAATATGAGAAGGAGTTGGTCGGAGGATGTGGTTATATAAATACTATATATTAAAATAGTTTATTGTTTACGTCGACCCACTTTGATGTCCTCATCAAGGCTACAAAAGATACTAAACATAAAAGGTACATGGTGAAAATAAAATAAATAAATTATTAATAGATATTAAACATATAGATACCAGACAACTGTTTTTTATTTAGGATCTACTTATAATTCATTTATTTTATTTTCACCATGTATCTTTTATATTTTATATCTTTTGTAGCCTTGATGAAGACATACAAAGTGGGTCAAAATTTCAGCGTAAACAATAAAATACTATTTTAACATATATTATTTATTTAACCGCACCACCAAACCAATTCCTCATATCAAGTTTTATGTTTAAAAAATTACAAAATATATTAATGAAAAGTTTATATGAACCAATGGATGAGAATACATGGATACACGTATATTAATTTAATTTATTCTATTTCTTTACTAAGGAACATCTCAATAAGTGTTCCTTAAATTTTAACAAACACTTTAATAAAGTCTGGGCTTTAAGTTAGATTTCTATCCTCAAACAAAATCATAAAATAATGGAAAATGCACATAATACATCTATAAATTAAACATATATATTTTTATTGCATACATTTTTTTGTAAAAACTGGGATGTTTAAAACTGTGATATATAATTCAAGTTTAATAAGGTACCTGCAATTCCTTCGCAACCAACAAGCTAAAACTGCAAGCAAACCGAAGCCAGATGCCACAACCAGTGTTAAGAACTGAAAAAATAAAGATAATATGAAAAAATAGCCAATCTGTCTAGAAGCTCATACTAAGTTAATTTAAGCTAATAATCAGTAATTGATTCATTGGATTATTGTTCTTATATATTCATTTAGTTTAAGCAAAGATCATGAATGTCAATAGTGATTTTTCTAGGTAAATACATGCCACAATTTATATATGAATGAGTAGAAGTGGTAATGGCAGTTCTTATTCATCAATATTAATCTTTCTTTAATAAATGACCAATTGATTGATTAAAAAACAACATATCTGTACCTCTATCAAGAACAGGTAATCAATTTATGGTGGTGAGCAGTTCAGAAAAAAATGAAAAAAAAAAACACCGCACTATCCTTCGGTTACAATGAGAGAAAATTAGTTAACCATTTACTATTTCCTAAGGCGGGCTTTTGTGTAAGTGGTTATACATAACAATTCCTTAATTATGATAATTGAACAAATATTTGTCAGTAAACAGTTTTATATTTAATGGTATGAATTTAATTTAATAAACAGTAGATACCTCCAATTTTTTTTTTTTTAAAAGTGATACACTAAAATAACAAGCAATCGACAATCTTCAAAAATAGTAATTTGAATGTTATTAATTTTATATGGTAAAATACTAAAAAAAATTTAATTAGTAATGATTGCAAAGATCACATTAATAATTATAATATGTCATATTTATTATACATATGGAAAGGTTTGCTACATTTTGAGCGCTAGTAGCAGTGAAGTAATATGGAGTCAGCTGTTTCAGTTTTTATTTCGGTAAAAAATATCTTTAATTTTCAATAAATACATAATTTCATTGTTAGATTATGTTCTAATATTAATTAAATCATTTCAGAATTATATTATACGCTTCGTATTGCAAATATTGGGACCCAGCCTAAAAATACTACTTGAAGACGAACTTGTCACCATTCAAATCAGGTGACTAAAATTTATTATTTTTTTTTCTTTCTTAAATAACTGACTTATAATTTACCTAGCAACTAAGCCTACTAAAAATATAAAGGTTAACTTAATCATTTTGGTAATCAGTTTTATTTATTTCACATTAAATTACAATATCATAATAATAGCAATATTTTCAAAGTTTGGAATATAAATGATCTCTTATTATGCCTATTTTAAATTTAAATTAATTACAGAACTAGTTTCATATAAAGTGTAATATACATAAATATTTGTTCACTGTCATCATTTAATAAGATAGTCTGTAGTACAGGCCCTTTTAATGAAATTATTAATATCCGCCTAAAACTTCATGAGTGGCTTATTTTGTTGTAACCTACAAATATTTTATCCACAAAAATTCTGGAAATTGGGGCGTTTGGCGTAACTTCGACCCTTAACATGTCTTTAGAAAGACAATATGAAAATATGTGCACATCCAGCTGACTTTCACGTTAATGATAAATTAAGATGAGTAAAATCAAATAGTGGAATACTAAAATATTGGGCTGTTTGGCTCAATCTGCAAAAATAATACAAATTATTTTTCCATGTAACCTTTTGGACATTGCGGATGGAAGTACAGGCGGATCTACGAGGGGGAGGGGCTTTCAGGGCTGAAGCCCCCCCCCCTCCAAAATGGTAAAACTAAAAAAAAAATATTAAAAACTATCTCTTAAAGTATTCTTTTTAATGTAATTACATTTAATAGGACTTCAACAACCACTTCAACACCATTTCTTATAGGCAGTTAATTTCTTTCTTTTTTTTCTAATTAATTATTGTTATATGCATATGAAAAAAAATCTTTAGGGCTGAAGCCCCCCCCCCAAAAATTAAATCCTGGATCCGCTAGTGGATGGAAGGGAGTGTTGGAAAGCTGAACTGGTGTTAATCTCTTTATTGACGTCAGATAATTGTATCTTCAGTTTGTCTCTTTCTAAGAAGGGGGAGAAGGGGGAGGGGGGTTGAAACTTCAAAATTCTCTTCTATTTTTCTGATTTTTTCAGTTTATGACCTTTAAATTTTAAATGACGCATCCCAATTAGAACTTTGTTCTATTATGAATTAAACGACATTGAATTCCACGTAAAATGAGTACCTCAAATATCGAATTCGTATTGGCAGAAAAGTCAAAATAAAACGAATGATCTGCGAACTTTCTTTGAAAATTCCTTAATAGGCATTGTCAGTTGTTTTTCAGCTATAATGAATAAAAATATATTGAACTTAATAGCATAGAATGTTTCATTTAATGGTTAATATTATTACCATTAGTGTTTCAACTGCCTCCCTCAGTGCTACATCCTACGCCCTGAAGACGACCTGCAAAGTGGGTCAAAACGTCGGCAAAAATTAAAATAATTACTATATTTCAATTTAGTATTTATTTGACCGCACCCCCGACTAACTCCTTCTCATGTTAATATTATTAGTTCTAATTGAGATGAAATAGAGAAATCTTAAATTTTCAAAATTTCGTGAAAAGTTTAATAAAAGTGAAATAGTTATCTGCCGGTCATTCTTAAATTTATTGATAAATAAACGAATGTTACAGTACTGATGTTGACATTAATAGATGCCTTTTCACATCGGTAATTATTAAGATGAGAACCGCACGGGTTATGCTTGGTTCACAATCACTTCTGTCACACTTGATTATACAGTGCCGGAGGCGTCCGGGTTTATCCGAAAGACTGTTCGAAGTTTCATGAACAAGTGTGAATGATGCGTAAGCAATCTTTTCGTTTCTTATTCTTATAATAAGGAGCGGTGAATATTTGTTAATGCATTAAGTATAACTTTGAAAGAAACTGTCTAACCTTAGGTCAAGGTTGAGATATGCACTTATGATAGTTAACGCAACAAATGATTTGAATTATGATAGTAGATGTTTTTGCCCGTAGATCAATTATTAGGAGCATTTGGTTAAGTAAATTCCCTTATACGAAGAAGTTAAACACATAAAAGCTTTATTTTCTTGAATGCCGAACTTTCAACCTAAGTTTGAGCGAGTCCTAGGATTGATTTTTTTATTTTTTCATCTTTGACCGTACCCCTAAACAGCAGTTATTGATACAAATTTTGTTTTATATCACATGTTGTTTCAGTGAAATTGTTTGTCATAAGGTGTGTCCTGCACTCATTCATTGGAGTACAAAAGTATATTGAAGTAAAGTACATATTCATTCATAATACCAGAAATATATAAATAAATTAGGTATATATTAATAAGGATGTTATCAAATGTCAACGTTTTACCCCGTAATACTGTATGATAGCTCCTCTGCTGCTTCCTTCCGAGGTTTTACCACTTCTCATAGCCCTTCACCTGAAACGCCAATTCTAATTAACTTTTATTTTTAACTATATAATTTCAATTATTATAAAATAACGTATTGTAGCCTAAAAAACTCAATACAATAATTTTGTTAACAGGTTACATATAAACTACTCTAATGAAACAAGCAGTGTGAAATCAAATAATTTCATGCAAAAAAATACTATTGTTATTCTGTTTTTATAATTTATACATCTAACTTTGTTTTTTGTTATTGATTTATGAACAGTCATAATATAATTTATTCAGAATTTTATAACTGACATCAAACGATAAAGAGATACTAATTAATTTTTTAAAACTATTTATCTTCAAAAAAGTGCCTGTGTGGGAAGAATTATTAACTTCTTCAATCAAAAATTTGATTTGAGAAGTTAAAACTGTAATAGTGACGTTAATTAGAAGAAAACGGGGAAGGATCCATATATTTTAATTCTAATTTATGTAGATATATTGTTTATTATAAAAATAGCATTTATTGTTATCATAAGTTTAATTAGGTATAATTGGAATGACATTTATTTTTACATAAGAGTACATCCATGTAGAAGGAGGAACAGAAATTTGTAATTTTTTTTATTTTCAATAGTAATATTATACGTAATATTTGCTACATTATTTCATAATATTAACCCTAACGTAGAAAATAAAGTCTCTGTTCACATGAATATCGGAAATTAGTCGTCTCATTTAAACGAAACGGTTTCCGGTGCTGTATTACGTTCAGTGACCGCTAGATCGAGTATGTGCCGAAATTCACGATTTCATATTTTATGTAGCTTGTTTAATGAAACGAAAATTGAAAAAATATAATTAAAAGATGGTTGATATCCCTTTCTCTTGAAACAAAAACATAATAGGCAGAATTGAAGAAATTTGAGTAAAAAAAAAAAACATTTAAGTAACCCAAAATAAAGTTTTATTGAATAACGTAAAAATTACATTGAATAATGTAATTACATGAAATAAAGTAGTAAGTACTTGGTATTAGTTACCGATCGAAGTGTTATGAAATAGATTTTATTAAAATGCAGCTATATTTAATACAATTCTGAAATGGATGTTTCACGCACCGAATACTTTAACCTCATATAATCCAATTACAAGGGTAGATGTGGAAGATATGTTTTCTCTTATAAAACATATACTTGATGAAAAGAAGTATAACTTGACTGAAACACATTTAGAAATGCACATAGTATTAAATTTTAAGGAAAAAAAAATTATTGTTCCTAAGAGTGTTAATACATATTTTAATTTATTTTTTTGTAGTTCATATTCAATACAACTTATTAGTTTTATTTTTCCACGCATTCTGTTAGTAAAACGATTGAGTTAAACATTTTTTTATTATTTATTAGGCGTTTTACAGGTATTGTATTTTTAGTTGGTCGTTTTTGTTTTTTTAAATTTTTTTATAAGATTTTCCTGCACGAAAATTTAGTCTCTGGTTATAAATTTTATTTAATTTCTTCGAACAATATTTCATTTTGTTTGTATTGTTTTTAATATTTAAGTTTGTGAATGAAATTTTGACTAACAGTATATTATGCTATTTGTTGTTGAGATTTAGGTATTATAAAACTTATCCTCATTTTTATTTCTAAAAAGAAAAAATATTTTTCTTTTTAAGTTTGAAGGAAGGGGTGGTATAAAATGGAGAGCACGTCCTCCTTAATGCAGAGGTCTGGTAATGGTGTTATGGCGCCTTGAAGCAAAAACGTAAAGCTTACTCGGCACTATCAAGCGTTTAGAGATTTAATTACGAGTTGATGATGGTACAATCTAATGGAATAGTAACAGTGCAGACAAATTAATCCTATTTTCGATGATCCTAAGCGTGGAATAAAAATTAAACCCGATATACTTTTATGTTTAGGTTTATATTATTTTATTTGTCGTTATAGTAACTGTCTAATAGTTAGCCAATGAAGGCGTCTAAATTTGGCCATAACGTCTAGAACAAACCGATTTACTGATTTATGTTTCCTTCGTTGTTATACTCAGGAACGATTTCAATTAATCTAACTTTTTTTTTAGAAGTTGGATCTGACTAAACTTTTCAATTCAATTATTTTTTTAATTTATAGTACCATATGAATTTTTTATTGACAAATGAAATGAAAATAATTTTATTATACTGGGACTAGTGTTCCTTTAGAACAAGTCACAAATACAGAATATATATCAATATTTTGGTGTGTCCATGAAATACTACTTAATATTTACTGGTTGATTCGGAGTACAATAAAGTTATAAATGATGAAAAGATATAAATACATGTAAATATAAAATATACAAAGAAATTAATTAAGTGAACGAAATATCTATGAATTACAAAATAATCAGAGTATCTGGGTTTACTTTGAGGTTTTTAAGTGCATTTCGTGATTAATCGGATTGGGAATGGAGTAGGTGTTCGTAGAGGAAAGATTTGAATGAGGATATCGATTTTGCGTGTCGAATATCTGAAGGTATAGAGTTCCAGAGGGAGACAACTTGTGTTAAAAAGGATTTATCAAATGCAGTAGTTCGGTGAGGGGGAGGATAGAGGTCGGACGCACGGGATCTGGTGGGACGGGATTGAAAGGAGCGTTTGAATTGTAGGATCTGTAGAATATAGGCAGGTCGTCGTGTTGCAATGGCTCGGTATAGGAAGGTAGCCAGAAAATATTGACGGCGATAGGATGGATAGAGCCACTTCAACTTGGTGTAGAACTGGGTAATATGCGTATCCCTTGACAGTGTAAATACAGAGCGAAAGTGACTCATGTGATTAGAGTTTCAACATTTGCCTAAATATATAAACAAAAGAGTTAATTTTTCAATTATATCAGTCAGTCTATTCTTATAAAATGAGAATATTTATTATTGTGCGCAAAGACTCATGTTTAAAATAATATATAAACCTATGTAACTCTACCTAGTCAATAATTATAACAAATGACGAGTGGTCCTTTAAATAAAAAAAAAATACTTAGACAAGGCTCATGTTTTATTTTGATGCTAAAATCTGTTTTTTATTCTTATATAGTTATTTATAATGTAAAAGTTCACCAATTTTATCTAAATTGTTGCACAATAATGATCCTAAGATATCAATGGAGAAGCAAAATACTTAAAAACACAAACACATCAATTGATTGTACTCCGATCGAACATAACTGACTGGAAGCAACAAAACAAGTTAGGAGGTGCGTGGTTGGTTTCTGATTAAAATATTAGTAAAAGAGAAAAAAATATGTTTTGGAAGAAAAGGGAAACATATGGAACAGACCACAAAAAGTGTAATTATAATTAAACTGCTAAATTTATAATTCTTCTTTTACTTACACCGGTTTCAAAAATTTCAAGTAAGGGTGGGGTGAAGTACCGTGCTGTCGCACCGTGTTCGCAAAGTTGATTTTTTTATTTTTTTTTATTTATTGAAAAATATTACAATCTGTCTCAAGGATATTTATTACAGTGTTCTGAGATCACATTCACACTCTATGTACAATAAATAAAATAAATTATTCAGAAAAATAATATATATACAATAAATAAGAATAAAATAACCTACAAATAAATAAATAAAAATAACACATACATACCTATATACAATATTTAAAATCTGACGAGGTATCTCCAAACCAGACTTGTCCATCCAACTGTGGAGGGAAAAGCATGACTCCAGGAGATCCCTGCACTTCTCTATCAATCGCGTCACTGGGGCTAAACCCAGTGGAGATTGAGCAAGAGTGCTGACATAATATTATTTTAGAATCTAATTGAAGTACTGAATAACTTTTCTTCAGAGGCTATATTTGGCTAACCAATATTTTCAGTTTTTTTTTTATTGAATTGTTATAAACTCTTTCTTTATTTCTACTTAAATGGTTTGCCATTTTTTTAGAGGATAGAATATACGCGTCGACTGAGCAAAAAAACCATTATTATTTTCTCGTCGGAAACCATTTCAAATTCTAGACAAGTGAAGTTGGAATTCGATGAGCATCAACCGGAATGTGTCGAAAAAAGTGTTTAAATAATAAACTAAGCTGTAATAATTTTATATTGAAGTCCTGATTTCTGTTTCATGTATGGGCTTGACAGCATAACTTAACAAACTCATTCCAAATTCACTGTTCCATCGACTGTTAGACAATCCAAAATATAAAATAGACTACTGTAACCATTTTCTGATTATCTCATGCCCTTGCAATACTTAGGTACATAATATTCCACAATACCCATATTTACACCCTTTCCAACTGCTACGATGTCCTCATTACACTCATCTATTATTTTCTTCTTTCACTACATTTATTTTTAAATTAATCTGTTATACAGCTCGGATTCGCTATTCTAGGTAACACAGATTAGGGTCGGTTATGACATTAAATGTATGTTAATCTCAGTCCAAGTAAAAATAAATAAAAAGTTTTCTAAATAAACAAGAAATAAATTAAATTAATTCAAATATGTCAACTTTGATTGTTGAAACTTCTTTATTTACCTAGGAATTTAATCCACTCTTCAAGAAATCATCCGTTATGATTTAAAGAATAAACGTAAATAGATCACTATGCTGGGGAAAAAAACCCGGTAAATTCGTAAAAATCTATGAAATATTCAAATAACGCTATATCATACCGATAAAACGCTATTTAACTTTGTTTACTATAGAATCACTTTCGATCAGTCTGTTTAACCTCTCAAACATTTTAACGTGTTACATATAGGTAGAAGAAACTAAGTGAAAAGTAGGTTAATTGGAAAAGTATGAACCGTTAACCAGGAAAACTTTAATAGCAAGCTCTTAATTGCCTGATCTTTGGGCTTTACTTAGGAAATCGATGGAGGCTATAGAACCGAATTAATCGAGTATTGGAATTAAATGTAGTGGGAGAATAAAAATAGCTTATCTGTTCCGCTCTTCGTTATTTATAAGTTTTTGAATGAACCCAGGGTCTTTTTTTTTTTTTTTTAGACTAATAGTGACAAATTCA